ACAATACCACAGCTTGGGTGAGTTTTAATGAAAAGTGGTTTATTTGGCTCCTGATTCTAGAGGTCTGAGGTTGAGGGGGCTCTAGTGGCGCCTTCTTGCTGGCAGGGTCCTGAGGTGGCACGGGCGATGACTTCTGGTTTCTCCCTCCTCCTCTTCTTCTCTCTCTACCTCTCTTCTTTTCTCCTTGTACTGGAGATTGAACACCAGGCCTTCACACTGAGCTGAATCCCCAATCTTTTTAATTATTTTAAATTTTGAGATAGGCCCTTGCTAAGTTGCCCTTAACACCTCTGGGGGGAATTGTACTTCAGCACTTAAACCCTTGGGTCACCCTCAAAACCACATCAAACCAGCAAAGGGACACAGTTCTGAGCACCTTATCACACAGCCTCAGGTGGCCCTGTGATTTCATGGGTTCTGCTGTGTGTTCCCTACTGCCGTCCCCATTTCACAGATGTACTAGTGTGGGTCTTGGGACCTAAATGGCTCGCCCAAGTCCCAAGTGAAAGCCCAGTGAAACGCTTTACATCACCTGACCCTAACATCTGTATTAACAAAATCTTATCTATCTAGGGTCTCGCTATGCAGCTCAGACTTGTAATGACTGTCCTGTCTCAGCCTTCCCAGAGCTGGAATTACAGACCTGTATCATCACCCTTGGTTCCTGGCCCGGCACAGCATGCAGTACCAGGGATCGAACTTGAGATCTTGTTCTTGCCAAGCAGGCACTTGGACCGCCGAGCTATCTTCCCAGCCCTAACGTCTGTATTTTTAACTACTACAAAGCTTCAGTTTTTCTCACTTCCTGGAAAATCCCATATTTTTTACCTTACAGTCATGGCTCAAAATGTATCCATCCCTTTCCTCAACTGGCCAACCCACACCACTGGAGCGCTTGCCATGTCCCAAGACCTCTGCTGAAAACGGCAACAGTTGCGAGCTTACCATCCCACAGGTGAGGTGAAGACAGGTGGAGAAGCCAGGAGCGGTGGCTGTGGGCAGCCGAGGGGATGCAGGGAGGCACCTGACCGCACAGAGCTGGATGTGAGTGGATAGTGGGCAGCAGCAGTGACGCTTAGCTTGCCCTGCAGGCCGAGAGAAGCCTGTTCATTCTCACACCTGCCCTGCTGCCAGGACCGAAAAGGCTCTGCTCTGCTTACAGCCAGCACATAGGAAGTAAGCAGATGGTGCGAAAGAGCTCTGCAGCTGTTTTCCCTTCTGCTTCGGCTGCCAGGAAGCTCAGGGGCAGATTGGCTGTGGCTGGTGTGTCAGCCTGAGACCGCAGCCTCTCTCCTTCTTCCTCCTGTCTTAGCCCTCTTCCCTATTGCTTGGAATTTCCTGCTACTCATTCTTTTCTGCTTTCCCATTTTAGAGGGTGCATTTATCTTTGACTGTTTGGCCTCTGGAAACTGCCTCAGATCTTCTTTGAGACGAGGACAGGTGACAGTGGCTTCCATCTAGGACTCAGCTCACAGTCCTCTTGCCCGAGCCCTGAGGGCTGCTTCTCTCTGTTTGCCTTGGTTGAACCCAAAGATGCCCTCGTTGTCGCACCCTGAGGACCACTGCGTGCTTCTCGGGCCTCTCAGTGCCAGAACTCTTGGTCTGTAGACCCGGCTTGCCCGTCCCACCAGCAGCTTGCACGTTTGTGATCTGTGACCCTGGCAGGGCAGGCAAGCCTCTAATCCTCTAGTCCAGAGCCTGGGGCAGGAGGTCTCAAATTCAAGACTGGGCAATTTTGGCAACATCCCATTTCTAAAGAAAATGAAACCCAAAAAGCTTGCACCAGGTGCCTCCGGGGATGAGCACATCCGGTAATGAAAGGCCCATTCCAAACACCTGGCCTCCTGCTCTTCATGTGGAATAGTTGCTGGAATACTTAGGTCAGTACTTAGCTTTACTGGTGCATTAGAAAGGGTAAGAGTGAGGGGAGGGGCCGCCGGGAGGGGCGGGCCTGGTGCTTCCCTACCCTCTCCAGGCCTAGGATGGGTTCCCTAGCCAGGGGAGCTCTCAGATTCCGCAGTGTAGGTTTGATGGAGGTTACATTATACATACACAGCTGGGTAGATCTTCAGCTCTGTGTGCCCCTGGTTCTCTGTGCACCCCAAAGGCCCGGGGTACAAGTTCCAGGCTTCCAATTGTTCCATCAGTTCCCATGTTAAAGCTGCCTGGGGGGTCAGCACAACCACCTCTAGGCTGAACAAAAGACGCTCCCATCCCCCTACCAGGAAGTCACAGGGTCAGGAGTCCTGTACCAGGCACCCAGGACAAACGTGGAGCCTCTTTCCATGGTGGCACCCCTTGAGATGTCCTCGCTCCTGGTCTCTATCCTGTGGGAATGAGTGAGATCTCCAGGCGTGTCTGCAACATGGAGCAGCACAGCAGAGAAACTGATTGGTGCTGGGCTTGTGCAGGGTGGGGGCCCCTTAGGCTTCTGCCTCTCCACCAAGGGGTCCCACTCAACAGCTTGGGGTCCAACTTCAGAGCACTTGTCTTCTGATTCTGGGACCTGGATTGTCTTAAGTTTCTGTGCCTCTAGGTTCCCGCATCTACAGCATGGGGACATGTATGAGTGGCTCTGACCTCAGAAGACTGTTTTGAAGATAAAATGAGTTAGTGCTTGGGAAGTGCTGAAGACAGTCTCTGGCATTCCGGAAACTTCTGATACTATTTTTATTCTGAAGACTATTATACATTTTTATTATTTTATGTATATGAGTTATGGATGATTCACAGGCAACAATGGGATTATGTCCTGATAAAGCTATTGGAAGTTGAAAATATTATACATCAAAAATATACTCGGCACACCTAAACTACCACACTGTCACCTGGCGGCACTGCACAGGGCAGGGGAGGTCGCTTCCTACATGGTCACGGGTGGGCAGAAGCTGTACCTTGATGTCTAGAGAGGAGCAGATCAAGTAGAACCAGTCCAGGACAAGATCAAAGTTCAAAGCTAAAAATATGATTTCTACTGAATATTATTTTTACCCTATCATAAAATCAAAAAATCATTAGTTCAACCATCATACTGTCTGTACTTTATTAATGTCACTATTAAGACCACTGGGGCTTTGGGTTGGTTGCTGCCTCTGGACACTGGGGTGAGGTTAGCTTCCCCCAAGATGCAGTCGGCATGTGCCTTGGTCTCTTGGGACACTTGTGATTTGGGGTGAAGTGGGCACAGATCTTTACGAGATGCTCCTTGTCTGGCCTCCCTCACCCACTCACCGAATCACTTACCCACTCTTAGCCATCAGTGTCCCAAGCTGTTGTGTGTCACCTGCCATTTGCCCAGGCAACTGAACTTTAAATGTCCTAGCAACTCACATGCCTCCCCAGGGGTGGCTGCCGTGGAGAGTGCCAGGCGGGTGGCTGGGGGGGGGGAATGCTCCCTGACTCTCGGACCTCACTGCTCTTCCTTCTGCCCACTCACATCTGTGCTGGAGCCCCCGCCCCCCAGCTCAGCCCCTGTGCTCTGCCTTCCCCCATCACTGTTTTCTCCTCTGGAAAGCTCATCTGGTGTCAGTCTTCAAAGCATCCATGTGTGTCAGCCCTCAAGCTTAGACCATGTCCCTCTGCAGAGGTCCTGTTGGTGGCTCTGCTTGGAGCCAATGGGCTCCAGGAATTTGCAAGTCCCCGGTGCCCCCTCAGCTTCCCTCCACCTCCATCCCAGGCCTGGTGGCTCAGCCCCAAATTCAGTTCATCCTGCTTCCCTTTCCCTTTTCTCAACCCTATCTTACCATTGACATATACCCAGGACATTACTGCTTCTCCCCACCACGGTTCCCACCATGGCCCAGCAACTGTTACCCGTGCTGGACGGCTGTAAGAGCCCCCCACCATCTCCCCACTTCCAGCCTGTCCCCTGCTGAGTCTCCTTGTGCTGTCACAGCAAATCACCGAGCCGTTGCTTAACAGCACTATATTCCCACACGGTTCTGGGGGCCAGAAGCCCAGAACGCAGGTGTCTTAGGGGTTGGTCCTGAGGCTCGGGGAGATCTGCTCCGTGCCTTTTCCTTGATCGCTGGTGGCTGCCGGAGTCCTGGGGAGTTCTTGGCCTTTAGACACCCTCTTGAGGCTCTGCTCCTGTTGTCACATCCCCTCCTCCTCCGTATCTTTTTTCCTAAGGCTGTCACTCGTGGGATGTAAAGAGCCCCAATCTACGATGCTCTCATCTCAGGATCCTTAATAATATCTGTGAAGCTCCTTTACTCTGCATAGGCTCCAAGTGACATGAACCACCAGCCCTCTATACCCCTCTGCTCCCTACTCCCCACATAGCAATGACAGCAATCCTTTGAGAACTTAATAGGGGGGCACAGTGAAATATATCCATAACCCTAGCTTTCTGGGAGGCTGAGGCAGGAGGCTCACAGGTTTGAGCCTAGCTTGGGCAACCTAGTGATTTAGCAAGACTCCATCTCAAAATAACTGAACCGCTCGACTCCTCTGTCTGGAGGCTCCTATCAATGGAGAGAAGGCTGGCGTCACCCCAAGTGTGATAGTCTGGGAGCCATGCGGTCCACCCATCAGCCCAGGGTGTTATGTCACCTTGTGGCCCCAGCTCCTCTGCTGCTCCCAGCTCTGGCACTTCCTATGCCAGCCCTCCCTGCAGGGATGCTGCCCCATCACTCCCAGGTTCCTGCTCAGATGTCACCCCCAAGCCTGCGGCTGGTTCTGTCTGCCCTCCACTTCATTCCCCAGCCCCTGGGGTTTGTCACCAACACCCAATGTTGTCACTTACCTGTGTGCTTACCAGGAAGCCGGCCCACCAGTGTCGATCTTGGTCTATCAGGTAACCACCGAGAACACCGCTGCCTAGAGGCTTCATGCCGTCTGGAGCTCAGGCCTTGTACCTGGGTGTCCTGCTGCCTTCGCAAGTGGCAGGGGTAGTAACAGCCAGAACAGCTCCCTCTAGCCTTCAGGGGCTGTCCCTTGGTGAGTGTCCAGAGAGTGTCTGTGCATTGAATGCTGGTGTTCTCTGTGTCTCTTCCAAGCCATGCATGGGACGTTTGTGATCCTGCTTCCGCTCAGCCTGATCCTGATGGTTTTTGGGGGAATGACGGGGTTCCTGAGCTTCCTCCTCCGTGCCTACCTCCTCCTCCTGCTCACAGGGACGCTCTTCCTCTTTGGAGGTAGGTGTCTGTCCTGCGGGGGACCGCGCTGTTGCAGGGGCTGTGGGTGGTATGGATGCTGCCTTGGCAGGGTAGGGACCCCAACTGCTGTCGGCACTCAGTTTCCCCACTGTAGTATCAGTCAAAGGGAGGGAGCAGTTTCCAGGAAGAAAGTGGGGAGGGGCAGCTGCCGAGCCTCCTGGCATTTCCCACCAGAGCTGAACCCTGACTTCAGCCTGCAGTCAGGGCAGCTCCAGCCCAGGGCCATGCTCTGCCAAGAGGCCCTTGGGTGCCAGCCTTGCTTCCGCTGCCCGCAGCCGCCTCTCCCACCCTGCACACAGGGATTATCCAGCAGGTGCGCCCAGGCTCCCAGACAAAACCACTCAGTCACACAATCTAAACAAGATGTGCTCCCCACCACAGAATAAAACCGTGGCTCCCAGAGGCAGAGCGGGGACCAGGAGATGCTGGCCAAAGAGATGAAATCGCTGCCAGATGGAGGGATGAGTGAGGGGGGCTGGCTGTACAGTAGCCACGGCTAACTCCAGAGTGCTGCAGACTGAAAACTGCCGAGAGGGTGGACTGCAGGCCGCCTCTGGGCAACAACTGGAGAAACCAACAGTGAGACGAGGCCGAGCGCGTGAGCAGCTGCGTTAGATCGCCGGGTGCAGCCAGCCCACGAGGGGTGCGAGCACCTGAGCCTTGCAGCTGAGCTGTCAGCACGCACAGTTCTTACCCGAAGTACAGCTTGGGCAGAGAAACAAAACAAAACAATGAAAGCGAGGCAAGACTGGTACTGGTTGGGCTAATTGTTTAGCAAACCAACACTTCTAGGAAAATGGCTGCAGCAGATCTTTTGTGTTCCTAGTGTGTTTGAAATGATTCCTTATTTTTATTTTTATTGTTACTATTATTTTATCTTTTATTTATTTATGTATTTGGTACAGGGTCTCTCTACACAGACTAGGACTTGTAGTGATCCTCCTGCCTCAGCCTTCCCAGTGCTGGAATTACAGATGTGCACCACCATGCCCAGGGGCCTGGGCCCTGCATGGCACATGGTACTGGGGATTAAACTCCAGTCCTTGCACTTGCCAGGCAGGCACTTAAGTCACTGAGCTATCTCCCCAGTCCCATTATTTTATTTTAATGAGAAAAAGAACTAGAACAAAATTTCAAAATAATAGGTCAATAAGCAATGGCTAACACATTGCTTCTTGTTTTTATTTATTTATTTTTCCGGTTATCTTTAAATCAGTCACCCAAGGGCCCACCAGATAGCTCAGTGGACTAAAGTGCCTGCTTAGGCAGATGCAGGGACCTGGGGTTGGTTCCCGCTGTGCTATGCTGGCCCCAGCCCCGGGGCACACTGAGACAGGGGGATGAGACTGGGCGTGGTGGCCTGTGCCTACAATCCCAGCGCATGGGAGGCTGAGAAGAGGAGAATCACTACAAGTATGATCTGTGTAGTTGGACCCTGTACTAAAAATACAAAAAAAAAAAAAAAAAAAGCAAAAGCAAAAGAATTAGTCACCCAGAGTACAAGATCTCAGCATTTCATTGTCCAAATGCATTAACACAAACCTTTCTTTTTAATGCACTAAGAAAGATTAGTAATACAACTCTCTTAACCACCTTTTATAAATACATACTATTACTTTTTCTTTTCCCTTCACGCTTTTCTCCATTCCCCATCCCAGTTTCTCTCTCCTCTTGAAGTTTCATCCCATTTTGCAGTATTTATTGTGCATTTTGGACCTTATTTCCTTTTTAAACTTGTCACATTAGGGAGATGACATAACGTTCGCACGTGTGCTTCTGATTTATTTCACGTGTGAGTATGGTTTTGAGTTGCATCTGGTTACCTATAAAAGTCTCCAGCTTATTCTTCTTCATGGCCAAGTAGTACTCCACTATATAAAGATACCACAACTTTTTTTTAATCCATTCCTCAGTTGATAGGCATTTGGGTTATTTCCCAGATTTAGCTACTACAAATTGTGCTGCTAGAAACATAAGAGCACAGATATTGCTGTGGTATGAGGTTTTTAATTCTTCTGGGAGGATACCCAGAAGGGGAATATCTGGGTCAAATGTGACTTCCGATTCTAGTTTTTTTGAGGTGATTCCTTATTAGTCAAACGAGCAAGCAAGCAAACAAACAGAGACAAACAGTTGGACATGGTGGTGCGAGGTGCTTGGGAAACCGAAGCAGGAGGATTGAGAGCTTGAGACCAGCCGAGGTGGCAAGATAAAGAACCGTGTGGGGATACATCTCGGTCAGTGCAAGATCATGGGTTCAGTTTTCAGTTCTACAAAGGAAGTGTGTGTGTCTGTGTGTGTGTATGTGAGAGAGAGAGAGAGAGAGAGAGAGAGAGAGAGAGAGAGAGAGACAGACAGACAGAGAGACAGACAGACAGAAGCCCACATAGATGGCCAGGGTGGTGCACACTTATCGCCCAGCACCGTGGGAGGCTGAGGCAGGCAGGCTGCAAGTTCAAGCCCAGGCCGGGCAATTTAGGAAGCTGGCAAGACCTTGCCTTAACATAGAAAATTATTAAAGGGCCGGGGACGCAGCTCAGTGCAAAGGCCCCGGGTTCATCTGGCAGAACTACCAGGAAAGCAAACAAACAGAGACAATGCTGCTGCCACCCGTGCTTGGAGTCCAGGCATCAGGAGGTGGCAGTGCTGCGAAGCACTCACCTCCAGCCTCCCAGGGAGTGTCGCTGTTGTCGTCGACAGTACCCATAGTGGCTAATTCTCAACACCCACGTGGCCACAGACAATCTTCTGTGGTGGTGAAATCCCCTCCCCACGCCCAGCCCTGGGATTCCTGTACCCACCCGTGTGGCCAGCATGGATGGGGGCTGAGCTGCCCAGTTAAACTGCAATGTCAGAAGCCTAGAGTGGCTGCCAGCCTGGACTGCGCAGTTCCATCACCACGGCGAGGCCCGCAGAGCCAGGCGGAGCCTCAGGAGGAGCGAGGAGCAGGCAGCACCTGCCCTGGCCTAGCCCGCAGGGGAGCCGGGCACCAGGTCTCTGGCTATGTTGCTGGACGCTGTGGTGGCTGGTGGGCCTTTCCAGGTTCTTGTTGTCCCACTCAAAGAAGTAGACGAGGCAACTGATGAGCAGAAAGTTTAACACTTCATTAGGACAAACAGAGGAACAGGAGGCACAAAAGAAGAGCTGGAGAGAAAGAAGTGCTCTGAAGGGAAAGGAGAAGGCGCACTGGGCACGTGAGCTGCGGGCCAGGGCAGCCAGCCAGTGGGTGCTTGATCTCGAGCTGGAACTGAGCACAGTGCCCGCTCATGGGTGGGCATCAGGCACAGCGCTCAAAGGCTGCTCTGTGCTCAGGTTCTGAAGCTCTGACAGGTTGTGCACTGCCATCCCGACCTGGGCAGCTGGGCAGGCACGCAGGGTCGAGCTGTCTAGAGGATGTGCAGGACCGGGCGGAGAGGGAAGGTGTAGCAGGCAGGATGGACACAGGCACTGCCAAGGAGGCAAGGAGGAGACTCTGGGTTGTGTGAGGAGGAAGAGCGGGGCAAGGAGAAAGGGGAGAGACGGGCCGAGAGGTTCTTAGAAGAGATGCTTGTTTTAGAGGGTCCATGCACATGCCGTGTGAGTGAGGTATGGTCCAAACACACACACAGTGAATGTGTACAGTAAAAATTATTACTGTGAAAAACATTGTTGTTAATCTTTCTCAAAATATCCCCCTTCGCTTTGAACACACTTGTGCCATTGTTCTTGCCACTTTCTGGAGCACTTCTGGAAGTCCTGTTTCCTGAGTGCTTTTAAGAGACACAAGCACAGAGCGCTGAGGCTGCCGCCGCGCACTGCCACCCCGCTGAAAGGTAGGCTCTGGAGAACGGCTGGGGCACCCTGGCGAGCACCGTTCAGCCCCTGGCCCTTCTCCCAAGTCAACACGACCCTGATTTGGGACAGTGAGGCAGCACAGCCTGCAGACGCTTCAGATAGTGGTAAGGACCACGGAATAGGTGTTCAAAGCCAGGGGAGTATTCTGGGCACGATTAATGCAATTTGTGCTGTGCTGCCACGAAAGGATTAAGCATGGGTTGCAGTTTTGATCCTTCCTCCTATCTTGGTTGTTCCAATCCCTTTACCGCTCCCTTTCCTCCCTGCCCCCTCCACCCCCTCCTTTCTAGAGGCTACTACCTTCTGGTTTCTGATCATCTTGTCTCTGTTTTGTTTCTTTCTTCATGTGCCTGCACTGCCCACAGCCATGGTGACCCTCGCTGGCATCAGTGTCTACATCGCCTACTCGGCCGCCGCCTTCCGCGAGGCGCTGTGTCTGTTGCAGGAGCGGGCGCTGCTGGAGCAGGTGGACATCCGCTTCGGCTGGTCCCTGGCCCTGGGCTGGGTCAGCTTCGCTTCCGAGCTGCTCACCGGGGCGTCCTTCCTGGCGGCCGCGCGCGTGCTCAGCCTGCGCCGAGGGCAGGACCAGGTCCTCTGAGCCCAGCCGCTGCCCGGGAGGACGCGGGAGGGCCAGGGACTCCCGCTGCTAGCACGGCTTCCTATACCTCAGAGTTGCCTGGGGAGGAAGAGGGACAACTTTGAACGCCCGGGTGAGGGAGAGAGGCGCCCGCACCAGCTGGCATAAATCACCAAACCCTGGGCCGTGTGTCCAGCTCTCTCGCCTATGTGGCCATCCGGGCCCCTCTGCTTGCCTCGTCCTCCCGCCCTTTGGAGCAACTCCTCTTCTAGGAACTGTGTGGTCAGCGAGGCTACTGAGCCTTCCCAGGCCGGGTGGCTCCTCCGGAGCCTCTCTGAGGAACCCCGAGGCTGCTCCTGCTCCTTCCTGGAAGTGGTGGCTCCCAGCGGGGACTCTACACGACAGCCTCATACATGAGGGTGGCCCTTGGCTCCCACGTGGGCGTGACAGAGTTAGCGTGTGTGGGAGGCTGGGGGCCTTGGGCTTAGGGGCTCCCTGGGAGGGTCCCAGGGGCTGGCAAGTCTGGGACCATTGAAGACAGTGGATGCCACTATGAGGACAGTTACCAACATCATAACACCATCGCCCTCACGTGACATCATCTGGATCGAGGTGACGCTATGCGCGCCATGACGTCATCACAATCACCATGACGCCATCACCATGACACCACTGTGACATAATCCTCTCCACTACCACATCATCCTGTGGTATCAACACCCCAACCATCATGACGTCATCAGACACGATCTTTGCCATGACATCATTGTTACAGCTGACGCCTGCTCAGCACTTACTATGCACCTGCGCCCGGAGCAAGTTAGACGGTCACTGAACACACACTTGATGGGAGTTATCAACCTGGAAGCAACCAGGGTCAGTGACTGTGGGACCCAGTCTTTGGCCTCTGAACCATCACAGGACCCAAGAGAGGGATGTGGAATAGATAGCTGGTGGGGAAGACAAGGGAGATAATCTGGACAGGGTACAGTAGAAGAAACGGAGGCACAGGCGCTATCTTGAAGGCACAAGGAAGAGAAAGCTGCAGCTTGGAGCAAAATTTAGAACCTGCTAATTCCAAGACCTTTCTGTTTCCTCTCCCATCACCACCTGCACCACTTGGCCACCATTTCTGCTCCTGGGTTTGGGACATCAAAGCACCTTTTTTGTGTAATCTGAAAACCATGCACGGAGTGGTTGTCACAATACTGAATGAGGTGGAAACACCTACGCGGGCTTCCGCAGAGCGAGGCTCGACACGCTGCGAAAGGGCGGTCTTTGCTGCCACCTTCCGGTCACTTGGTGGAACTTCGCCAGCGGCCGGACCTGATTGCCAATCAGCAGCCAGGACGGTGGGTTTGGCCTCTGGGACCCAGCCCTGAGCAAAAGGACAGCGTTTCTCAGGAGGGCCGCTTGCTCTCCAGCCAAGGACCTCTGGCATGTGAGTCAGGTCCAGTGGTTAGAACTGGGGAGAGGGTTACCGCTGGCACTTGGTGGGCGGAGGCTGGAGGCTGGTGGTTGCAGGCCCCACGCACCAAGTTCTGGTTGGAAGCACAGAGAAGCCCCTCATGCAGTGAGGCCTTACCCAGACTGTTGGTTGTCAGAGCAGGGATGTGGCAGTGAGGATGGTGGGAAGACTCCTGCCCTACCCTGCTTCCACAGAAACAGATGATGAACACACAAACCAGGGAGACGCAGGAAGGAGTCAGGTGATGAAGGAAGAAAGTAAGACAGGTTGGGGAGACAGGAGTGGCTGGGAGGGGTGCTGCTGCAGGAGGACGGAGCCTGTTGGAGGGCAGACCTGGTGCCGAGCCCAGAACGAGGAACTGCAGGCGGGGTGACCACAGATCAGGCAGGCTCGCAGGAGCAGAGGCCCCAGTGTGTGTTGGAATTGGAAGGAGGGAGAAGGCGTGGCGGCGGAAGTGCAGGCGGGTGAATGGCCCAAGCAGCACCCCGTGGATTCCATGTCTGAGAGATTCGTGTGTCGAAAGCCAGAGGGGCCTCCAGAGGTTGTCCGCAGCTGGCGCTGGGATGCGGACCTGAAGGTAGTGGCTCCTTCTCTTTAGTGTCCTCTGAGACCTTCGAACCCACCCCGAAGTCCTGACACGAGCTCTCAGGAGAGCAGGTGGAACCAAGCCTGTGGCACTGGCATTTGTAGGCCATTCCTTTTTTGTGCTGAGTGCGTGTGTGTGTGTGTGTGTGTGTGTGTGTGTGTGTGTGCGTATGCGTGTTCGCGCGCGGTGGACTGCCTGTCTGAGAGCCTCAAACATTCTGTGAGGAAGGAAAGGGCCGGGCGGGCAAGGACGCAGGAAGTTCAGCCACAGATGGAAGGGCCCAGCCGGGGAGGTGAGGCACAGTCTGGTGTGCGCCTGGGGTCAGTGCGGGGCTTTCTGCTCATAAAGAGTACACACAGAGAGAGGAAGGGCAAGTGGGTGCCCATCCGCTTGCTGTGGAGCCTCAGCTTGGGTCTGTGTCTGCAGTCCTCTCCTGGCTGGGCCCATGCTACAGAACAGAGCCAGCTCTCCTTGAGAGGGGCTGCTCAGCCTGGCAGGGAGATTTGCTCATTCACTCACTCATGGATGCCACCATTGGTTACTTTGCTCATGGGCACATTATCGTGATCACTGAGTGACAGGGAAGCCTCTGAGGCTGCCAGTGTCTGGGCCTGGGTTGGACATGCCCATGGATGCAATGCCCATACTCACCCACCCATCTTCCCACCCAGCCACTCACCCATTCACCCCTCCACCTGTCCACTCACCCCACCCACACATACACCCACCCATCCACTCATCCATCCACCCATCCAT